GGGGGGGGGGGGGGGGGGGGGGGGGGGGGTGTCCATGCCAAGGATTTTTCCCCTGCCTTCTACCTGGAAGCGCTGCAGAAAGACGGCGGAGGCCGAAGTCTGGTTTGCGGCACAACATGCATTACAGCAATCCTGCTGCCATCAGCATTTCCCCACAAGGCACCTTTGACACTGCCTTCCCCCACACAGCCCGCCCACAGAAAGAGCCCTGACAGCAAAAGGCACTTCATTATTACTCCATTCAAGAGATGGAGGGGAGATTTTTAAACAAGCTGCATTGTGCCTACCGCCTTTAAAAACCGGTGGGGTAATCAAGTTCAGGGCAGCCCCGGACAGCTGCCCTGTGACCTACTCGTGTTGACCCCCGCTATTCATCACTCTCCTTCGGACGATGGGGGCAAGCTCCCGGGGACTGACCACCACAATAGACAGATACAAGCCAACAATAATACGGTTCTTGCAAAAAAAACAGATGGCACCGCAATAAATTTACAAATCTGCATTCATGGCTCTGTTTAAAACACCCAGGAGCTAAAAGGCTTGAGGGGCCCCCAGAGAGCTTCCCCTTCCCAGTTTCTAAAGGCCAGCTCACTCCCCAAGACTACTGAGCTCATGTTCTTCATAAATGAAGGATGGCGACGTAGCCCTTAAAATAACAAATGCCTGACCTAATCAATCTAGCATTTGGGTCTAGCGCTAAATGATAGGCACTGAAAACTAATTACGTTTTTTGGCAAGGAAGTTGAATTCAAATGGAAACACACAGGTTAAAAAGGCACTGAAGCATTTGTGAGTCCCTTTGAAAGGGCTGTGCACACACGCACACACACAGGGCTGGAGACAGCAACCTGATTCAATAACTCATGCATTTATTTTTAAAATGAATCAGATTAGTCCCATGTGTGACCTGCCGGTCCATCTGTATGTGCTGGACTTAATGGGCACTCTTCTCACGCTTACTTCAGTTTGAAGTATGAGAGAGATAAATTTAGTTTAATTTTCAACAGATCAAGCTATCCATTTTCCAAATGGACCATCTGGATCAGCCTATTAAAATTAATTTATAACTTTGCAGTGTGAAAATTCGTTTGTTAGCTTAAATAAAGTTGCCAAAAACTTTTGCCACTTGTCATTGTTTTTTCCAAGGGCTGTTTTTATACCAAGGCTGTCAGTTTACACCTCACCGTTTTATTTTACCATAGCAGACAGCTCTCAAGAGTAAAACCTTCTCATCCTTGCTTCAATGCCCTGCGTAACAGCCCAGCCAACTATGCCACGTTTCTCATCTCCTTCTGTTTCCATCTTTTGTGCCGATCTCCATGTCTACCACCACGACAGACCCTTGAGATGGCCCACTCCTGTCCAGGTTTGCTGGGCACCTGCCCTACCTTGATTCACATCTCTAGAGGTGCACCTCTTTTATCAAGTCCCTTTCGGCCCAGAGGACTGAATGCCGAGGACTGATTGCGCAGGTCCATCTCGCGAGGTCCAGAGCTCCAAGCCTGCAATCTGAAAGGAGCAGTGTCGCTGAGGAGGGGAAGAACGGCAACATTACGAGCACCCCCTCTGCAGACATAACATCCTCCCAGCAAGGAGCTACTTCTCTGTGCCACGCGTGCGGACCCAAACTCCAGCATTTTACAACAGTGCGATGGAAAGATGAAGCATAAATCTACCTATTTATGCAAGAAGCATACATCTACCTAAATCACAGGGGATGTACCAATTTTTGCGGGTTGATCGTGGCGTAAAGCTCTAATTCTGCCGTTATTTTGTGTTACTTTGATCGGTGGGGAGGACCTGCTCCTCGGCACTGACTGGTGCAGAGGCCCCCGGGGGGGGGGAGGGATGAGGGGGCAGCTGCCATCTTGTTTGCTGCTCTTCATGCCGCCCTGCCAACCAGCACCTTCCCCCACCGGGGAGCCAGCATTTTATTTTTATTGAGGTTTTTGTTGTTGTTGATTTCGCAGAAAATCCCGGATTTCGCTATTTCCGCAAAATTCGCTGAACTGTGAATTAAGTAGGTCCCTAAGCATACAATCCTTCCGAAACGCAAGCCATTGCTGCATTCGATTCCCCATGCCTTAATGTTGGGGGGGAGAACAGCATAAAACTGCACCTATGCATGCCTTGGGCTGCACCTAGACTGAAAGCCTCGGACAGTTTTGTGCCTTCACTAATGGCTTAAGACAGCAAGTATATTTACAGTCCTGAAATGTTCATTGGAAAGACGGGCTGGAACAGACAAGCCCAGCTCCCCGCTCAAGGCAGGAGCATCCTTGACTAAACCACCCTATGCATGAATCCTATACACATCAGATGTTAGATCAGTGGTTCTCAGCCTTTTTAAACACCAAGCACCCCTTGTTTGACTCCATAACACTTGTGAATTGAGCAGCACTCTGATGCAACGACTCATTTATTTATGACAGTGCTTACCTCCTTTCAGAGGGGCTGGGTAGTGGGGGTATGGCAGAAGCTAGGCAGGGAGCCTGCACTTATCCCCTCACACCTCATGGCACCCCCCAGCACCCTGGTTGAGTCACTGTGGTGGATCAATCTTCTCATAGGCACAAGAGCTTCGGTCAAGAGGACAGTAACAATTCCCTGTGACTTACAGAAGAAGGACCTGACTCTGCTACAGAGCCATCTTCTCAATGCCCAAGGTACTAGGCTATGATTGAAGAGAGCCGGGGGTTTTAAATGATAGAAAATGAGGGTTGAAGGGACCTTAGGAGGTCATCTTAGTCCAACCCCCTGCTTTCAAAGGAGGACCAGCCCCACTTAGATCATATGCACTGGCAGCAGTAATACAAGGCAGAGCTCTGGGTTCCTGCCTGAAGTTCCTGAGACTAGTCAAATGATTAGCATTGAAAAGAAATGGTAGCACCTGCCATCATGCTTCTTCAGAAGAGCATCTCAAACTAGAATCAGGTCTCATGCCTGTTCTTACAGATCCCAGGAGGATTAGCTAGAGATGCTGCTTTACTGATTCATCCAGCATCTTCCTAGAAGGCTTCCTTTTTGCCAGACTTCTGCTGCCTGCACCGCTGGCTTTGTGGCATCTAAGCCTGTGGAAACTCAATGCTGTGACTGGCTTTGGCTGCTGCGAGGAGCACACAGTTGGCTCTCCATACTGAGATATGCAGACACTACCTTGAGTTAACGAGGCTAAGTCCTCTTTGGAGACAGCCTTCTAGAATACAATGCACTGTCCCCATTTCCCAACTCCCCTTCCCCAAGAGCCTTAGGTCCTTTACCCTCCTGATCCTGTTGGGAACAAAAAGAATGGACCGCAACTCCTGCCTTTCTCTTACGGAGGGCTCCAGACCATCAACCTGTACTGGACGTATCCGATCACTTCTTTCAAAATTCAGGACCCATTTATCTAATGAAGTAGACAGCCAATTCTGTGCTCCTTGGAGAAGTGGGCTATCTAGCCTTGCTTTCAAGTGGACTGGTCTAAGGTGAGGTCTTGCTGACTTCTTTGTACAAGCAAAGACTTTTGGGAAACCATCTCTGTTCCATCGGCCCACACACATTCCATGTTCTGCCGTGATGCTCATTATCTTTGGTTTCTCAGCTTCTCAGTACAAGCAGGGAATTAAATCCTTGTTACAAGTATGCATGTGTCTGATTGCAGTCTTACAGCTTGTGACTAAGCATCCAGCAGGTTGTAGGAGATGTGGAAGTCCCTAATAGGAGATGGCAAATCTTTGCTCCTCTTATTCCTGGATGCTGTGTCAGACTAGCAAGACAGCCTGGAAAAGGCTGTTTACAACTGAGATTGCAGAACTCAACTAGGAAATTCTCTGGTGGAACCCATACAGCTTTGTCCACCACAGGCAAGTCTAACTCTGACCCCGAAGCTGCAAGAAGGGTGTTGGCACCCATGCAACCTCCTGCACAGAAGAAAAACGGGGCAACACCATGATAAGGGCAGGAGGTTAGGGAACTAGCTAACAACAAAAAGGGGTAAGCAGATGAACAAAAGCAACATGCTAGTCTCATGTCCCTTCTGGGCAGGATAGTGCATCCTCACACCATGGAAGACAGGATGAAGCTGCATCATGATCTACAGCAGGGGTGTCAAGCTCACCTTGGGCCCAAGGCCAGATCCAGGCTGCAGGGTTCCTTGCAGGGATCCAGTGCCCGGGGTGTGCGGTGGTAGCAGCTCTGGCATGGGGCACACTGCACAGCTCTGGCTGCATGCCCCATGCCAGACCCAGAGCTGCCACGGCCACAGCCACTGCTATGTTCTGCAGTGGCAGCTTTAACTGGGGTACGTGGCAGCTCCTGCATGGAGACAGCGGCAGAGGAGGTAGGGTTGCAGTACTGCCAACAGGCAAAGCAGCTGGGGGATGACCGGGACTGTATTAGCACTCGCTCACCCTCTTGCCACCAGCTGCCAGGTCCACCAGAGCCCAAGGGCCCCGGATTCTGTGGCTGGCTGCTCTCCTAGTCACAACCCCAACTTCTGGTGGCTGTACATTTGATACGGGATGAATAGACCCTTCTGCTGAGGCCTGGGAAAAGAGGAATTTTTTAATGAAATAATTTTCTTTAAAACACCTATGACTAGAAGGGTTGGTCCCTTATCCAGACCAAGGTATTTACACCGCACCCACTACCATAACATCAAAGTGCTTAATATACACTGTAAAATTAACCTCATGCACAGGGAGGCTAGTTTAAAAGGCCTCTTTTTCTTGCTAAGCCAAGATGGGGGAATCCCTAAAATGGCTCTTTTGACTGCAACAGGTAAATCATCCTTTTTTTTGGAATGAGGAAAGAAGAGAGAGTTCAGGATTCCCTCTCTTTAAAAAGGCACTGTGGCATTTATTTCTTGAACACCACAGTGTTCAGTAATGCACAGAGGAAGATATACTTCCTACTTCAAAGAGCTTAAGTTAACACAGAAAGGAATTAGCTTTTATATATAAAAGGGATTGTATGAAATGTTTTCCCTGCTGCTGTCCAGGTTTTCATTCACAGGAACGTATTTTAGAGGGAAATTAAAACAGCTATTTTTAGGTGATCAGCCCAGACAGTGTCTCCAAAAAAATCTACTTTTCTCAGGTGGTATGAAGCTTAACTGCTTGAGATTCTTGGAAGCAAAGTCTCATGGGAAGGCAAAGCGTACTGTAAAGGAGAAAGGAGGATTACTACAAGACAAGGCTGGAGCGTTCTTGATGAATAGCAAGTAAAGAAAGTTCAGCTACCAAGTCACAGTTGATAGTGCTCCACAGAGCAGGCTGGTTTCCTCCGATAGTGTCATCACTCTTCATATTTATGAAAGCCCAACTTGTGTGTTTGATTTTCCCAGGTACAATGTTTTGTGCATGCTCATGCTGCCAAGGAAGGTAAAGAAAGGACTTTCAGATGTCTGAGCATGACATGTTTGCCAGTTAAAAATCAAGCTGCAGCTTCCCAAAGTGTCTTAAGATCCAAGTAGCTAGAAAGTTTTACTGTATTTTTAAAGAGCATACCTGTCTAAGTGAATTCTTCTCTGGAATGATCTTCCTAGGGGGCTCGTCATTACTACAGTCTTCTCTCTCAGAGGAATTCTGTGAAAGAAAGTAAGCTTTAATTCAGTTCTTATCCCCAGTATGATTCTGCGGGAGGAAAGGGAACGGAGTATTTGCAGCTACTCAAGCTGGGTTATTCTATGCATGCATGCACCTGAGGCTAACTTGTACTTGTAAACCAAATGGCTTGTTGTGGCTGAGCACATTTTTCCTGCTTGATGTAACATTGCACCATTTGGCCGACTGAGTGGAGAAGTCTGGTTGCTCTGGCTTTTTTCCGAGGTAATCCGTACCAGGCCACTGTTGGCAGTGGGATGCCAGAGGTGGTGAACTGATGACCTGATGTGGTACAGCAACATCTGTTTCTGAATTCCCTGCAATAGCAGGTGTTCAACAGATCCTTTTTTTCTTTAAAAGAAACAAAAGATTGCTAATAAAATGCAATCCCGACTTATATTACAACACTCAACAGTATGCTGAACGTTAACGGATCATGTGGAGTCCAGTGGCCAGCCAAAGCTCTACTTTCGTGTGAATTGGGTCATCAGAAATTTCGTGAGAGTGCTAGACCCATCACTGATGCATCTCCCCCTCTCTCCAGAAGCAAATGATTGCGATCCTATAGTGTTAAACACCACTGCCACCAGTAAGGAAGATGAGATGGAAAGGAAAGAAAAGGAGGGGCTATAGTGTCTCTAGAGAATGCTCCTGGCTGGGGTTCAGAAAACCCACCAAGAGACTTCTGCCCTGCTCACCCTGAAACCACAAATACTTGCCGTAGAGTGGTGCTCGACAGCTTTTCAAAGGACATGACCTGCCTCCAGCACACGTTCAGTTAACAATGACCAGGGTGGGAGGAGTATTCCCCACGTTGGCCATACAAGCAATGCTAGAACACAGGGATCCATCCACTCGCTCTGTTTCCATAGTGTGGACAGGCTCGGGATATTCTGCCCTGCTTAAATATTTGTTTGGGGGTGTTGTGCAAGGGGGTAGAGGTGACGCAGATGGGATAAGTAAAGGATTCGATGATAGAGGCTGCACCCGCACTCAGCCCCGACTCCCAGAACTCCTCTCCTCATGTACTCCTGGCACACTAGATGCTTCAAAAAGCTCACACCTCAGTGATGAACTTCAGGGCTGCATCTGCAGGGAAAGGAGGAGCTGGTACCCTACAAGCAGACAGCAGTGTGAACAGCGGGGAAGCCCGCAGAGGAGCAGATACCCACTGCAGATGCAATTTGGATCCAAGCAGCTCAAAAGTTGGTGGCTTTGTCGAAGGGGAAGAAAAGATCACCAAGGAGGCAAGGCAAGTGCACACGCAGTCTTCTGAGAAAGGGAAGACAAAGGAAAAAAAATACAACCAAAAAAACCTCTCGGGATGGCATAAATCATTCCCAGGGATTCCAGGTAAATCAAGGTTTGCAAGCCAACTAGCGAGTTTACAAGATAAAGAACGCACAAGGCACTATGACATCTGGGATGCTGAAGCCAGGGTTTTGTAACGGAAATCAATCATAAACAGGCCTGATAAATTGCTAGAAGAGGTGAGGCTTTGAAAGTTTTCATGCAAGGCTTCAGCTAGGAGTAAAGTCATATGAAATCTGGCTCAGACAAAGCGGTGAAAACCCAGGTGAAAACCCTATGTGTGCAAAAAAAGAAAAAAAGGAAGCAGAGGCGTGCAGGCTGCTTTTCTGCACCTGTCAGTACAGTTTAGCAAGCCATTAATGCAGGAATACTGGGGGGGAAGGTGGGGGAGATTAAAGAGAAACGAATCTGCAATAATGGTGAGGCATTTCTAGGAAGGTCTTTCTTAAACTATTTTAACATGAATTTTTTAATGTCAATTTCCTCCTCATGGCAAACTTCAAAAATCACCCCCCCACACACCCATTCTTTAAAGAAAAATCTCGCCACTTTTTTGCCTCTCCAACCACCATCCAGTGTCTCCCATGACTTAAAGCATCAAAAGCCAAGAAACACGGTGGTGAAAGTGCATCATCTGCCCGTATTTTGAAATTCCTTCTCATCTCCACGCAGCAAGTTTTCCCCATTTCGTGAAGCTGAACATCTCATGTTAAAGGCAAGCAGAGGACCCTTTTGCATTCATTATGTTTATAGGTGGCAAGGCTAAGAGGTTGGCTGAACAAAGACCAGACAAAGACTGCCAAGTGCATATGGTGGCTCACAGCTTGGCGCCCCACCATCCCACGGCACCAACGCAGCAGCTCCAATAGCAGACTATTAAAGAGGAGCGCTGTTCGTGCACTTTTGCTGGCGAGGAAGTTCCGCTTGGTGAAGACGGAATGACTGGAAAGCGTGATCACGCTCAAGAAACAAAGCACAGATGTTAAGAACTCCCCCTCATTTCTCAGGGACAGGGAAAGCATCAATCCAGGTGCACTATAAGCCTCCGAATACTTCAGAAGTAACCGTATCTGTATCAGAGTCATTCAGCCTTTGGTGTCAAAGGTAGACTTGCTGTACCAGAGGTCAGGAAAAGGACAGCTACCTGCATTTCCTTTTGCTGAGCAATTCAATGCAACCCCCCCCACCCAAATCTTTTGGAGCATCAGTCTGAGCTTTGCTTCAGCATGACATGAGAGATGCCTGGAGCCAGGGAGGAAGGAAGACAAAAGGGGGACTGCTCTGGGCACCCTCTAGCGGCTATCAAAATACGTTTTGCGGCACAGCTCTAGAACGGAGCGTTTGGTGGCTGGATATTAAGCCGGGGCATATTAGAAATACTGGCAGGCAAAGTTCTTTGGGTAGATGTGATATCTTTTATTAAACCAACTAAATAGAAATACTGATGGCTCACAGCTACTGCGGCTGATGCAGGCACTAGACATCTATTAGGGTGGAGGGGCGAGGAGAGACTGCAGGCCAAACCCGTGCACCACCTCTCTTGCAGCTGGGGCAAATTCTGGGATTTCATCGCTGCTTCTTGGGAAACTAAAACCAGAGCAAGAGATGGTCTGTTCTTCTTATCTTCTACAGGCACAGCAAAGAATTGCACACTTTCCTCTAAAGCTCACAGAGGAAGCTCAGGGTGCTCCTGAGATATTCAGACTGCCACGTTCATAGGTAGGATGCAGAGAGGCTACTGGATTTACACAAGGTCGCACAATGTCAGTGGAACGGAAGGCAGACACCCGACTCCTGAACCCACTTGAGCCTTTAGGCATCCTCCTTCACCTTACCGTCAGAGGCCGACGCAAAGCGGTTTTTCCTTCTGTAGTTCATCTACCCTAAAATGAGAGCTGTCTGCTATGGGGGGGCTCCTTTTCAACTTCATCTGGATTCAGCCTGTAGCTACCAGGATGTCATTCCATGGCATCCATGGCACATTGTATCTCAGTGACCACCACCATTTTTTATTTTTATTTTTTTACTAACATCCAGCCCCTGCCACATGGAATACACTGTTACACCACACACCGAGACCCGCCGGGAAAGTCTCGGACACGTGATGGCAAGCAGTATGCTCTGTATAGAGCCTACCCAAGCAAATGTGGGTGCATGGATAAGCCAGGGGCTACCCACCGGACAGAGCTGGTGGAAGTCCCAACAGCGGAGGTCGTCTCTGGTGCCGTGTTGCCCAACACCAATTTTAAACCAGGACAGACTCAGCCCTTTTTCAAATGTGGGGAGGTGGGGGAGCACCGTGCGTCTATGCAAGGAGCACGACTATTTTTTATGCTTTCAAATTCTTAATCCTGTTTGGAGCTGTCAGTAGGGGTTAATGGAAGCCTTGGATAGGAGAATTCCAATCTGGTTGGCAGATGGATAGGTTGGTTATAGCTGCATAACTATGTCTTGCCTGCAGGCACAATTCAGAACACTGTTAAAGCAATATAAAGTCTCTGTCAAGCTGAACCATTTGGATCAGTAGCAAGGAGAAATAATAATAAAAAAGAAGAGTTCATTTCTGGGCCTTGTGCATTTATGCTAGTATGCAGAAACTGATTAATTGTCATCGTGTGCTGGTCTGCTATACCTCCGATTTCTACTTCTGGAGTAGATTTTGCATGCTAATATAATCATTCTCCCTCTTGAGACATTAGCAAATAATCAAATGAAAAACAGGATCATAATTTACTGAGATTCGGGCAATTCTCTATGCAAATTTGACTTGTTATTGCTGCTGCCTCGTTAATCTGAATGCCTTTGACAAACTCCTTTGATTTATGAACTCATGACAACTCCAATGTGTATATATTTTGCTAGATTGACATTATCATTAAGAGTGGGTGGACTGAGCTCACATGAATGGCTGATTTTATTCGCTGGTGTCTGCTGCTCAACAGCTGAGCATCTCCTTCTCACAAAGCCCCTGAGCGCCAGGCTCTTCCCATCTACCCATCCATTCATCATCTCGATGTTAATTGGCCCAGGCTTTAAGCAAATTTTCAACACGATTTAAAGGCACGATGACACTGATTACTGACCCTCTGCCATACGGTGCCTATTGATTAACCTGACAGAGATGATGAGCTTAAGGGAAACTAGGTGTGCGTGGACCTCAGGGGGAAAAAATATTTTGTTTATGCAGGCAAAACACTTGTCAGTCTCCCAAAGGCCAGAACTTGTGCCGCACTGGCCTTTCAAACCAACTACTGCTTTAACACCTGCATCCAATACAGGCAGTACTTGCCTGCCTTGGAAAAAATATTATAAATTTGTCGTCATGTGCAGCCTGGACTTTAATCGAGCTCCCCCATATCCAGGTCATTTCCAACCAATTAAGGCTCATTCTAGGCAATATAAGGTAGAGCAGCATGAGTTTTTACTTATCAGTGTGGAAGGAAGGAAGTCCCCTCCAGGCATCTCAGCCCCACAAGCTACAGAGGAATGGGAGTGGTGTCCCAGCTGAGATGAGCCCAAGCACAACCTCGATTTCAGATGTCACTACCCAGGTATTTGCGTAGCGCCTTTCCACTGATAATGCATTTCTGACGTTAGCAGCAACATCTCCTGAAGCACGCTGCTGATCCGGCCTTGCTTCGAACCTGCAGGCACACTAAGGGACCAGCCAT